TTACTGTGGCAAACTCTTCCAAGTTCTGAGAGTACGGTACAATGTGGCCAACATAATCTGTGTCATATTACAAATAAAAATGGCAAAGTATCTGGTGACACAAATCCTTTGTGAAGCCATCCTTGACCGTCTTCAGCATCCACACACTATGGCCATTTGTATATTAAATTAAGATAGCTGCATCTGGACAAAACTTGACTCCTAGCTCTTACTTCTTGTTCCCCAGTCTGAGCAAGCTCTGAGCAGGTGGAAGGCCCCAACAGCACATCTTTGAGAAGCCCAGACCTTTCTTTGATTTACTGATCATACTCCATACCTACTCCCACTTTGGGTGTCTGACATTGTAAATTCAATGGAATCTAGAGGAGAGACTCCTCTGCAGGTTGGGCTCAAAGTAATCTCATCTACAGTTAGTTAAATATTTTTAAGGGGAGGGGGAAGTTAACTATAAATAAATCATCACTACATGGCCTCTTGTTGGTTGCTTTTACTGAAGATGCAGAGATGTATAGCACACTGCTTTAAATCAGATCACCTGAGCTCCTAGAAATACCAAAGTGCCTGGAGAACTATTTAAGAAAGAGTTAAAGAGAAAATAGAGAATGCATTTTTTGAGTTGTATATCTAGACTTACACTTTTTATGCTTATGTTCCTAGTTCCTAGTTCAGCACTTTGATCACTTTGTTCCAAACTAAAACCTATCTATATCAAATCTATGAAGTTTTACGTGTTCTCCCAGTCTATATTCTTATAAAGAAGCATTAAAATTAACCATTTATTCTCCTAGGTTTTAGACACTTTTGGTCTGGGTCACAACCACATACTTGCCTACATTTTAACATGTGCTACTCTTCATCTCACACCTGTACCCTGTGCTTGAACAGGAACAATGTTTTAGCCCAGAGGAGGCTCAGTGGCTCCCACAGAACTCTACAAGCAATACAAGATAATTTGTAGAAGACCTGGGTTCTCACTGTCTTTCACAACTTGCAGTTATATGACCTAGGACAAGTCATCAGACACTGTGAGTCTCATTGTGACCACTTTACAGATAAAAAGGAATCTCCCACTTTCCCTACCTTTCTCAGTAGGATAAGGATCAAATGAAATAATGATGTCACAGGGGCATGTGAGTCTTCAATGGCTCAAGTTCTGGGATTCCATCTTCTTCCTCCCTTCCCCTTCCCTGCCTTTTACTTCTTTCTTTTATACATCAAGGGCATCCTGTCTGAATTAAATTGCTATCAGTACCTTGAGGACTACCAAGATAAGTCAGAGATGTCCTTAAATGCTTACATTATAGGAAATGATGCTTCCAAATATGTTAAGTGAGAGGAAAGAATTATAGAAAAGACATTCTAAGAATTATATGGAAGAAAAGATCACTTCTTGTGAGGTACTTTAGAAGACTTTGTGGAGGAAAAGGTATATACACACACAGGTCCTTGGAGTATGGGTAATATGTAGACTTGTAAAATCCATGGTGAAGGAAAGTATGACAGAGAAAAACCAAGAGTCACAAGGCACAAAGAGGGAAAGGATGGGGCATGCCCAGGAAAACAGCAGCTGTGAGGCCAAAAATCTGAACTCCTCAAAGGGAGCAGTAGGAAAGGAGACTGGAAAGGCAGACTAGAGCCAGATTAGGAAGACCCTGCAGTTAGACAGAATCTAGATTCTGGTATTCCTTCCCCACCCCTTCTTTCCCCCTCTCCCCTTCAGCCACGACCCTATGCATCCAAGTTCCCTCTCAGGAGAAAATACTAATATGCCTCTGTTTTCCTAAACCTCTTCCTGACTTACCAGTGTAAACAGTCAATACAACTAGACATGGCTCATTTGTCCTCCATTAATCTTCTTCTGGGTTCCTAAAATAGTCTGTTACTTGCAGTCTTAACCCACTGTTGTGTGTAATCTCTTCTCCACACTGGTGTCACACATAGGCTGAACCCATATTCACATTCCCACATTACTCCATATTTAAGATGCCATATGACTTCTTATCACCCATAGATGACATCCTAACACCTTGAATAAGTTTTCATGATCTGGCCTTCTCCAGACCTCATCTTCCTTCCCTCCCAACCTCTACCTTGTTACCAACCAAACTCCCTGAAGTTCCTTACACCTTGGAATGCCCAGTCCCTCTGCACGAAATCTCACTTTCTCCCTCTCTGTCTGGATAGTACCTACTCTTTATTTCTTGTTTAGATCATTTCACATTGTACCCAATATAGTTACATAAAAGAACAAAAACATTCAACTATTGAAAAAGACGCAAAATCAGTATTCATGTATATTATCCACAACTCTAAAAAAAATAGAAGGGAATCACCTAAAAAAAATTGATTACAGAATTCCATGAGAGAATTTGAAATTAATATACAAATGCCAAAAGGTATCTTTACACAAGTAGTAGCCATTCACAAACTGTAATGTTAGAAAGTATTCCTTTACCAGAAAAAAAACCTCTTGTGGAGTCTTGGTTTGTCTTTTTGTTGTTGGTCGTGGGGCCTCAACTCTGGGCCTGGCAGCTGTCCTTCAGCTTTCAGCTCAAGACTAGCACTTTACCATGAGAGCCACAGCACCACTTCCAGCTTATTCTGCTTATGTGGTGCTGAGGAATCGAACCTAGGGCCTCATGCATGCAAGGCAAACACTCTACCACTGAGCCACCTTCTCAGCCTGTTTGTCTGTTTTTAGAAACAGGGTCTTACTATGTAGTTCAGCTGGCCTGAAAGTCATAATCCTCCTGCCTCAATCTCTCAAAAGCTGGATTACAGGTGTGCACGTGTGCATACACCCAGGATTTTTTTTTAAAGAAAAAGTATTATCAAAACTAATGTAGAACCTATGCATAGGGAACTTGTACATTCTAGTGGAAAGATACCTCAATATCTCCAGATATCAAGACCCAAAGCAATGCAAGCTTCCCAAATGTGGCTTCTTCTCTGCTCTGTTCACTGATGCTCTCCAAGTGCCATCAATGCCACTAAAACAATCTAAAATTAAAGGCAATATCAATCAAAGTTAATTTTTCCTTTGTTGTTGCTTTTGTGTTCATTTCCTTTTGTTTTGTTCATTTATCTGTCTTTGGGAAAATTAGGGGGGGAATGCTGGGTCAAAGAGTGAAAAAACACAGTAGTGGTATTCTGTAGACACTATATGGAAAATGAATATACAACTTGTGAGTGGGGATGGAAGGGAAAAACTGGGAGAGAATGAGGGAAAGGGTGGCAATGTTCAAAAAGAAATCTACTTTTTATCTGACATATAACCATAGATCCTCTGTATATCACCTTTACAATAACTATAAGTAGATTTTTAAAAATCATAGATTATTCAGGGTAACCTGAAAAAAAAGTAACTTTCCACTTGGAAACTATACATAAGAAGTTTTGGGTGTTGTTGTTTTTTTTTTAACCTAGCAAATGAGCAAAATTTCAAGTTCTTAAGAATGACTGAATCATGGAGAACCAGAAAACCCAAAATGTTTTTACAGAAGTATTTTTGCAAAAGCAATTTACCACTTTCTATAAACATTCAAAATGTGTTTTCTTTAAGCAATTTCTCAGCTGGAATTAATTCTATAGCTATATTAGCACATTTGTGTGCTAATATATGAGATATATCCCTTGTTTTTGGTACTGTTAGAACATTAAAAAAAACTAAACTGAATCAAATGTGTTAATAACTGAACTTTGTATAGGCACACCCAAATAATGAAATAGATATACTCATCTTTAAAAACTGAAGACCTATACAAAGTGAAATGGAAATAAGTCTACCACCTACTGTGAAAAAGGCAAGGTACAGAAAAGTATCTATAGTATAAGCCAATGTGTGTTTTATGATTATGTAATTATGTTTATACATGAATGGGACCACATACTCCCACAGCGCTCTGATATAGGACTTATACAATCCGTGTTTTACTGGCTGGCTTCCCAGACATAAGGAACTTTTTGGAAGACAGGGACTATCTCCTTTTTCTGATTCTCAGTGCCTCAATGGAATGCTTGTAACCTAGTACCCAATATAAGAAGGATTAGAAGAAGGAAGAAGGGCTTGAAGGTTAACCAGGTGACACATCCAATACTAGGTAGAGAAGTCCAACTCAAGCAACAAGGAGGGTGGGCCAGAAAGCAAGCAATGAACTAATGAAGCATGGAGGAGTCTGGCTTCAGAGCAGCCAGAAAGCAGTAAGGCCAGCCCCAGAGCACTAGTATTTTCAGTTAGAAAGGAGGTTTGGCTGGGAAGGTGGCTCAGTGGTAGAGTGCTTGCCTTGCATGCATGAAGCCCTGGGTTCAATTCCTCAGCACCACATAAGCAGAAAAAGCTGGAAGTGAAGCTGTGCTAGCCTTGAGCTGAAGAGCTAAGGGACAGCGCCTAGGCCCAGAGTTCAAGCTCCATGACCAACAAATAAAAAAAAAGAAGGTATAGCTGCAAGCCACCGCCATGGTCCTGACAATGACACAAGTGCCTGTGCCTCCTGCAGGCAGGGAGGAAGCCCTTAGAACAGCTTTTAAACAGATTCTCTCTGTTCTGGAAATGCTGGAGCCTCAGCTGGTCTTAAGCTAGAGACTGTAGCAAACTGTAAGTCCTCTACATCATTTTGCTTATTACTTTCCCCATAGAGCACTGGAAATGTCAATTAAAGTAGCACACGTAACGTACTTAGCACTGACTTTTTCAAGAACTTTTACACTACACCAAAAGTCATAGAGAAATCATTTCTAACCAGACGATGCCTCCCACCTATCTAGGCCAGAAATAGACCATCTTCCTAAGCACACTGAAAACAACCCATGAACTGCTGATTCTATATTTCTTACTTTTACCAGAATTTCACAATTCAACTGTCTTTACCAGACCACTGATAAAAAGAACACTCTCCCTCCATGGAAGGTTAGAATTAAAAAAAAAAAAACTTTATAACTATAGTACATTTTCTGTTCTCCCACCCTGGCAACTGACATGGCCAGGACTGTCCCTTACTTACCACAGAGGGAGGGTCATTCCATTCTTCATAAGAGATGGCCGCATATGGATAGATACGGTCATTGATAATCTGCAGAGTGGCCAGGGCGATGGCTTTAATTGACTGGAAGTACGCTTCCCAGAACCAGCGTGCCTACAAAGAAAACAACACTGTAGTAAATGAGGAAGCAGGTAAGCAAAGATGGGGGGGGGGGAAGATAGATGCTCTGTTACAGTCAACTCTGGCTTTAGTTCTTTATTCCCAAAAAGGTAGAACCAAGGACACATGAGCTCTGGTGCCCAAGCCATCTCCATCATAGGTACACCTTTGGCCAAAGCAGCCAGAATAAAATGCAAACAAGTGAAGTGCACACAGATTCAATTTAAATAGACGAGAAACTCCGATTATTAAAACAACTAATGTGTCAACTATACAAAAGGAAATGTACTTATTACCTGATGCATGTAAATGTATCCCCTCTGTATATCATCTCTATAATAACAATGGAGTAAATTAATAAATAAAAAAACTAACATGGTAATTATGTGAAAAATGACTACATAACTTGAGTGTATGTATGGGAGGAGGGAAATAAGAGAGAATGAAGGAAGGGATGACATACACTAAGAAACATTTTACTCACAACAACCTTATGAAACTGTAAACCCTTCATATGACTACTTAGTAATAATAAAAGTCTAAAACAAGCCAGGCGCCGGTGGCTCATGCCTGTAATTCTAGCTACTTAGGAGGCTGAGATCTGAGGATTGCGGTTCAAAGCCAGCCCAGGCAGAAAAGTCTGTGAAACTCTTATCTCCAATAAACCACCAGAAAAACCAGAAGTGGTGCTGTAGCTCAAGTGGTAGAGTGCTAGCCTTGAACTGAAGATCTGAGGGACAGAGCTCAGGCCCAGAGTTCAAGCCCCACAACCAAAAAAAAAAAAATGTCTAAAACAATACTAATGTATTATGCTGGCCCAAGGTTATGGTCTTCTTTATAGATAACACACACACACACACACACACACACAGAAAAGTGTACAAGTCTTATAAGCATAGCTAAATGAATTTTACGTGTGTACCTACTGTTATAAATATCATAGTAAACACACAGAATTTAGATTCCTCTATGTTGCTTTCCAATCAGCATTGTGACCAGTCTCAGAACAACCACATTCTCGTTTCTTTTGCACCACTCTAGAAGCTTCACATTAACAAAATCAAGCAGCATTTGTTCTTTTGTTACTGGCTTACCTGGAGCAACACTTGCATTTAATTTTATTTTTTCTTGAGAAATTTTAGGCAAAACTAATTTGTCTCTTCCTTAAGAGATTTTAGAAGAATTAATCAAAGAAGCCATCAGGGTAGGGTGTGTGTGTGTGTGTGTGTGTAAGAGGTTTTAGAAGAATTAATCAAAGAAGCCATCAGGGTAGGGTGTGTGTCTGTGTGTCTGTGTGTGTGTCTGTGTGTGTCTGTGTGTGTGTGTGTGTTTAGAAAGGACGTGTGTGTGTGTGTGTGTGTGGGTGTGTGTGTGTGTGTGTGTGATTTTAATTTCAATTATTTCATTTGAGGCAGAGTTTCACTATGCAGCTCAGCCTAGCCTCAATCTTGTGAGCCTCCTGTCTCAGCCTCCAGACCTGATTATAAGCATTTGTTACCATGCAGGGCTGTATGAAAGTTTTAAATTATATTCTCTTGTAGATTCAGAATAATGCACATTTTTGTGTCACTTCTTCTTTTTTTTTTTTTTTTGGTCGGTCGTGGGACCTGAGCTTTGGGCCTGGGCTCTGTCCCTCAGCTCTTCATCTCAAGGCTAGTGCTCTACCACTTGAGCCACAGCGCCACTTCCAGCTTTTTCTGCTTATGTGGTGTTGAGGAATCAAACCCAGGGCCTCATGAATGAAAGGCAAGCACTCTACCAATGAGCCACCTTCCCAGCCCCTTGTGTTACTTTTATACATAGTTTTTCAAGGAATTGTTCACTAAATTGTTAAATTCATGAGAGTAAAAGTGAACTTGACAACCATTTAATAATGCCTGTAGAATTTGCAATAATGCCCCCCCTTTCATCCTGATATTGTTGGTCTCTTGATTGGCCTTTCTAGAATTTTCTTACTTTTATAAATCTCTTCCAAAAAAACAAATTTTGGTTTTGTTTTCCTCCATGTTTTTTTCTCCAACCTTGTTAATTTCTGCTCTATTTTTATATTATTTCTTTCAATTTTTAGTTTAATATAAGAGTGTAATCTTGCTATTGACACTTAAGTTTAAATAGACAATCGATTTCGATCTTTCCATACTTCTTGTAAATTTCCCTCTACTGTCCTATTTAAAATGTATCTCACATATTTACATATAATTTTCATTATCATTTAGATTTTTAAAATTCTACTTTCCCATTTTGATGTCTTCAGTTTGTTTGTTTTTGAGGTAAGTTTCACTAGGTAGCCCCAGAGGCCTCAAATCCGTCTATCTCCAGCTCCCAAGCATGTGCCACCTTATCTGGTGAAGTGTCTTCTTTGGATTATGGGTCACTTTTTAGTACACTATTTAATTTCTCAACATTTTGGTACTATTTCTCTTTTTATTATTGATTTCTACTTTTTCAGTATAGACAGAAAACATTTGCATCATTTCAACACTTTGTATTTATTTAAACTTGATTTATGGCTTAATACATTGCTTACTTTAGTAAATTATCCATGTGCACTTACAAATATATGTACTATAGATTCAATGTTGCTTAACTCTCTTTTTCTTACTGATTTTTGCCCAGCTGTGTGTGTACATATATAAATTTCTAAAAATGTTAAAATTTGTACTCTCAAAACATGTCTCCTAAAAAAATCATATAATTGGATTAAAATATTTTATCCTTCCCCCAAATCTTTAGCTTCTAATTATATAGTCCATTTACACTTAATAAAAATATTGATGTGGCTGAGTTTGTGCATATTTTATTTCTAATTTGCTTTGTCTATTCCTTTATTTTCTGTTCTTATCTACAGAACTAATTTTATTATTATTTTATGTTTTTCTTTTTTCATTAACTTGCTGTTATACTTTTAGTAGCTATCTTAAAAATTAAAGTAAGCAATTTTATAACAACAAGAAAACCTTCTTACCTGCTGTGCTACTTTGTCAAATATTTTTCACCTACATATTTTAAAACCTACCTGACACTACTGTTGTTTTCAAAGGTGAATTTTTGCTCACATGCATCTTTTCTTTTCTTTATGTATATCTGAGCTTCCATCTCAAGTTAATGTTCTACTGCTTGAAGAAGTTATTGTGTTACTTCTTGGCTGCAAGTCAAATGGTAACAAATCCCTGAAAATTTCTTTTGACCCAAATAATCTTAGAAGGATATTTTTGCTGATTAGAGAATTCTTGGTTTGTAAATATTTTCTTCCAGAACATTCAAGATATAAGTATACTGTCTTCTGGCTCCATTCAAGTTTCACTGATGTATTAGCTGCCAACTATATGAGTGACCTTTAAAGATAATATGCCATTTTTTATAACTATATTTAAGCTTTCTTCTATCTTTAGCTTGTAATAATCAATTGTGATGTTCCTAGATGTGGCTTTTTATGTTTACCCTGCCAAAGATTGTAAACTTTCTTTAATCTATGGCTCAAAGTCTTTCACTGACTTTAGAAAACTCCCAGCAAATAATTTTGTACATATAGCTTCAGTCATACTGTATTCTTCTTCTGGGACTTCAGACATACAGATATGTGAAAGGCAGGTAATATATGTAGTGAGACACAATGTTTTCACTACATCCCATATCTCCTGTTCACTTTTCTGCATTTTTCTTCTTTGAGTTTCCATCTGGTAGCATCTCTCCTCTGAGTTTCATCTCTGGTATCCTCTGGATTTGACAGTCCTCATTTCCCCTCTGTGTAGTGTCTAAACTGCTATTAAAAATAAAATAGAACTTCTACCTTGTCAAAATTCTCTCTTTTCTTAAATATAGTCAACTAATGGCAGATAACTCCCATAGCTTTATCGCTTGTGGGTGTCTTTCTACTTCTTGTTTTTTTTCTTGTCATTTTGGTCATTTTATGTCAATTTCCAGCATGTTTCTTACTTTTTTTTATTAGATGCCAGACATTCTAGTCAGCAGTTGCAGACATTTTGAATAATCTAGGACATCTTCCTCCTAAAAGTGTAGCACATCTCTATGGCAGGCATGGTGAGTACAATGAAACCATTTTAATTCCATCAGAGGTTAGTTATATGTCAGAACAGAAAAGTCTGCAAAATTCCATCTCCAAAAATAACAAATAATAAAGTCAGGCTGCAGGTGTGGCTCAAATGGTAGAACATCACAGCTAAGCAAGTGAACTGATTAGGTGTGAGGCTCTAAGTTCAAATGCCAGCACCACATAAAAACTAGCTTTTTTTTTTTTTAAGCATTTCTTGGCAATAGTTACACTGCTTTTCCTGCTCAATTGACTTTCATATCTGTGACTCCATTTGCACTTTAAGCCAGCTTGTCACTTGGGGAAAATTCAAGCTTCACCTTATATGTGAGGAAACTAGATACAATATGTTAAGTGGCAGAAAAAAGATTTTAGCCCATTCCTCCAGACTCTCAATTCAGACCTTTTCCCACCCTATTCTGAAGTATTAAAAGGATCAACACAGGGTAAGTTTTAGGAAATGGCTTCTTAAAAAAAACAAATAAATAAACAAACAAACAGGGGAGGGAAGGGATGGTAGGGGAAAAACAAAGGAGGAGGAGGTTAACAATGTTTGATAGGAAATGTACTCATTACCCTACTCATGTAACTGTAACCCCTCTGTACAGTATTTTTACAATAAAATAATATAAAAAAACAACTAAGCAGTATAAAAATTAACTAAGAAACAAGAGCCTATACATAGGCAACATATATCCCAAGTACTTTCCTTCTCTCTTATCTAAATAGATACATCACATTAAAAATGTTTTAAATTATACTAGGTCTGGAGATACGGCTCAAGTAGTAGAGTACCTAACTGGCAAGATAAGTCCCAACATTCAGATCTTAGTACCACAAAAAAATAGGTTGTACCACACCTTAATAAACTTACTCAGGAGGCTAAGATATGAGGATGGCAGTTCAAAGCCAGGCCAGGCAGGAAAGTCTGTGAGTCTCTTAT